CAGCCAAAACCTTACCAATTTAGACTTATGAGGTATCATTTGTAAGGTACTTTCTCTCCCTTTCAATTTCTTTACAACTCATTCAAGGTATGAAAGAGTGAATGAGTTTTTTTTGCAAAGAAATAAAAAGGATAAGAAAATACCTTTCCACTGATACCTCATAAATCTATATCGCTAAGGTTTTAGTTGTTCAAGTTTTTCTTACGCCAATATTTGAAAAAAGGAAAAAAAAAATCTCATTATTATCATTCCGTTGATACAATTTTTTAATATTTTTATGTAGATTTTTTAAGCTTAAACTGTTTTGTCATCTAAGGGGATTTTTTCCAAAAAATCTTTTAACAAACTATTTGTATTCATAAAAAACTCCATTTTCAGAGGTATTTTGAAATCAGTCCAGCTCACATAAATCTTAATATTATTACAAAATATTTAGGTATCAAATATTAACCGATTTCAAAATAAAAATAACGGTTTCTTTTTGTACGTTTCTACATTTCTAGAGGCTCAGCAGCACAATTCACAAAAATTGATTTTCCTGTGTATTTTTGCACCACCCTAATGTGCATTCATACATGTATGTATGTATATTAGACTGCGCCTTATTTTGGAACTTTGCCCTAAAAAGCAAGACTCTCCCTAGAAAGGTTATTTTGGTCATAAAAACGTGCCCTGCGAAAAAATTTTAAAATCGCATGACGGAAACGTATAATTTAGTATATTTTAATAACACTTGATATGCCCCGATGTCATATATTGCGTAATACTAGAATTTTTTAGATTCTGAGCTCTGAGTTAATTTTTAAAAATGTAGTGGAAATTAAAAATTTTGTTATTTAGTACTTGTGTAACATATGTGTTTACTCCTTTTTTATATACATACATACTACTTAGGTTAGGACAAAATAATAATTTGATGATTGAAATAACTTAAATTTTTTATGTAAATATATTTAATAAAGTTTTGCTTTTCAAAATAATGAAAACTGGATTTCTGGTGAAAATTTAAGGAGATATCAACATTATTTTTCCCATATTTATATTGAACAGGCAAAAGCACATTAAGTGGCATTACAACATATTAAATTACCTATTGGCTTATAGGCAATTTTGACCACATTGTTAAAAATTTGATGAATATTTATGCGGAACTTTAGGGCCTTTGGGGCACGTTTCTTGCTTAAAGTATTGCTTTGTAGCTTACTAAAAAATTGTCCCATACAAATACGGCGCAGTCTTATGTACATGCATACATACATACATGTATATGCACGAACAAAGTCAACAAAAGTTGATGGTATACATTTTAAACACTAATATTAGTTTTAACTTTTTTTTAACAGAAAACTAGGCGGCTTAGCGGCTGTACGCCATACCGACATATTAGCATTTTAACTCCAGTTTGGTCATCAAAGTTTTACGCAATTTGTCAGCGCGTTTGTGGCACACCGTACTTTTCAGCATGTTCTAGCTTCGTGTTGAATTATTAATTTTCGAATTAATAGATTTTTATAAAAATTTGTCGGCCTGTGAAAATTTCAGTGTATCTCATTTTTGTGCGTTTCAATACAAGTCAGATTTCTTAGCGTCTAACCTCAAAATTGGCTTCAACAGAAATCACCTGTTTTAAATGGATGCTTAGATTTTCAAAAGAGTTGTCTTTCGACTATGGAACCATTGCAGCGCAGATCAAACAGGACATACTACAACTACCAAGGAGGCTCAGATCTGTAGCCATTAATTCGTTTTTCAGATAAGCCTATATGCTTTGCATCTTTAGAAAGCTCTGCAACTGAAACGCACACCAACAGAGTGAATTTACCGGCGACTGGCTACTGCGGCAGCTGTTGTGACGATGAAGACATCAAGAGTATCGAACACTTTCTTTTCTATTGCCAAGGTCTGGCTCAAATTAGGTGGCGGCCTTTCCATCAGTACTTTTTAGACTGTCTTTCGGACCTAATATTTTACATATCTGGGTAAACGATCGGAGTCGACATAAAGCCAATCAAACGGTATCACAACAGGCCGTATAGTGCCTCCATCTGGCTATTTGTTAAAGCCATCCACCAAACTAGCCTACGTAAAATTTTAGTTCCTTATACACTTTCAACAATAACATTCCTCAGTTGTCATCTAACGTTATTTTAATCAATGATCTGGCATTTAGAAAAATGAACAGATTGCAACACCCAATGCATAAAAATGATTAAGAAGTAATGGAAATGCGATAACTGTAACTTAGCAAATCCGGCAAAAACTTCCAACATTAAACGGCGTAGCACCGTCGCTCTCAAATGATGTGAAATACATACTTGGGCGTCATCTTTGGCAGGAATCTGACCTGGAATCGTACCGTAGAAAACCACTTCAGAAAGGCCATTACCGTCCTCTACGCCTGCAAAATGGCAATAAGCAAGAAATTGGGTCGTAAATTTCACATAGTACACTCGATTTACGCAGCAGTCGTACATCCTGTGTTATTATACGCCACCAAAGTCTGGTGGACATTACTGGATAAGTCGATCATTAATTCTAAACCAAGTTTCAAAGGATGCTAGTAGCACTGCCATCCATGCCCACAAAAGCTCTGTAAACACTCTTAAACTGTCTACCCCTAGACCTTTTTGGGAAGCTTAAGGCTTCTTAAGGGCAATACTGTAAGATTAAGGGCACTGTCAAAATGGAAAGACACCAGGTTTGGTCACACCAACATTCTAACCAATTATACATACACAGCACCGCCTCTCGAGCTGGAGACAGTTTTTTCTCTGGCGCCAGAATTTTTGTAAAAGATTTTGAAATTTCAAAGATATGTTCTCAAAGAATAATTCTCAAACTTAAGGTATCCACACACCTATGCGATTCTGTCGGTGCGAATCTGTTCCAACATAATTTACAACAATGCCGACCATAGTTTTCACAGTTCTTCTTTTGGTTGTGCCGAAATCGCAGACTCCGTGTTTTGAGAACGAAAAAGGTCAATAGAAGGATTTTACAAACAATTACAATTGGATTAAAACAAAGTTGAACGTAAGAAAACAAAACATATTTGATGTAGAAAAGTTAAGAATTTTATTTTTGTTGAAAAATATTTTTTGTTTGTCCATAAATTGACAGTTTTTGCAGCGATAATATCGCACAGATGCGTACTTGCGTTTTCGAAGCAGTAACGTCTGTAGCATCAATAACGGTGCGGATTCGTCGTAGGTGTGTGGATACCATTATTCAAAATATTCAGTGCAATGTAGAATAACAATATGCATACCAAATGATATACAAAATTCTTTAGAAGGACAAATTGGTATTGAAAATTCCCTCTTAATTATGTTATTTGTTAAGCTATTAAAGTAGAAGGGTGAAATTCGAAATGTCACTTTCAAAATAAACGGCTCATATATATAGTAGATTTAATATTTCTAAAATGAGAAATATCGGAAATAGTCGCTTATACGGTATGAAGCTGTATACCGTCTAACATTTTATATGCCCATTTTATAAATTATACGAGTAATACATGATATTTTTCCCAAAGGAAAATGTTACTCTTGTCAGAAGGATGCAGGTTATCTAGCCAACGCACTCAGCACACTCTGTCGAACCTATATTTTTAAACTATATAAAATTCCTTCTGTGGGTTTTTCTTTCATCTTGCATTCCATCTCAAATAATATCACAGGTTTACAAAAAAAAAAGTTTCTGCATATTGAACCAAACCCTATATCCCTACGCCCTGAATGCGAATCCGAGGTCTGTTAGCCTCCATCACGTCAGGTTTATTTAATGAATTTTTCCCTATTTGACCCTCCAATGCGCTCGAACCTGACATGATGAGATGGGATGGATGACAGACCTCGAATTCGCATTCAGCGCGCCGAATGACATAAGGATATAGGGGTTTGGTTCAATATGCAGATACGTTTTTTTTGTAAACCAGTGTAATAATTCTACTTTTTTAGCCAAATATTTGTCACAGTAGCTAAAAAGTCTCTGTCACTTTTATCTGTATATAAATATTATTTAACAACAGGCATATACATACAAACATAACAACGTAGGCATAAATAATAAAACAACGAGTCAGATTANATAATATCACAGGTTTACAAAAAAAAAAGTTTCTGCATATTGAACCAAACCCTATATCCCTACGCCCTGAATGCGAATCCGAGGTCTGTTAGCCTCCATCACGTCAGGTTTATTTAATGAATTTTTCCCTATTTGACCCTCCAATGCGCTCGAACCTGACATGATGAGATGGGATGGATGACAGACCTCGAATTCGCATTCAGCGCGCCGAATGACATAAGGATATAGGGGTTTGGTTCAATATGCAGATACGTTTTTTTTTTGTAAACCAGTGTAATAATTCTACTTTTTAGCCAAATATTTGTCACAGTAGCCAAAAAGTCTCTGTCACTTTTATCTGTATATAAATATTATTTAACAACAGGCATATACATACAAACATAACAACGTAGGCATAAATAATAAAACAACGAGTCAGATTATTTAAGAAGAAATTCAAAAAAAAAAGTGCTGTTGTCAGGAAAATGCATTTTTCACCCTTCAATAGCTCTTAACATGTTCGTATATTACATAAACACAGATGTACGTACACTTGCGGTCAGCTGATTAAGTCAAGTGACATTTTGACTAGTTTTTGCTATTTTTATTTTGTTTATTTAATGTTTATTTTTTTATAAAAGTTTGGCAGTTTACTTAACCAGCGCCACAAAATTCCATATTTCAAACTTCATACAAAAATTATGAAAATTCAAAAAACTTTAACAATTGCACCCAAAAATTTTAAATTTTTTATTCTTGCTGATGGTGCTTGCCATTTTCTCCCATATAAGCGATATATGGAAGAAAATGCACAACACCGTCAGCCAAAGAAAAAAATACATATACCTACCAAAATTTAATAAGCTAGAAAACTGAATACCAAACATTTTTCTAAAAATTCTGAATAAAAAGTTTAAAATTTTTGGGTGCAATTGTTAAATTTTGTTGAATTTTCATGATCTTTGTACGAAGTTTTAAATGTGGATTTATGTGGCGCTGCTGAGGTAAATTGCTAAACTTTTTTTAAAAGAGTATAAACATTAAATAAACAAAAGAAAAATAGCCAAAACTAGTCAAAATGTCACTTGACTTAATCAGCTGACCACAAGGGTACATATGCATATGTGTTCTCGTGCATTTTCTATAATTTATGGTTATTTCACAAAAAGCAACAATGCACTGGTGCAGTAAATATTTTCAAAACTTTTTATACGCATATATGTATTGTACTTACAATTTCATTAAAAAATGACATGCTAGCAAATATATTTTATTGATTTAAGTTAAAATATCACAAATTTCAGGAATAACAGTACAGTAACAAAAAAATTATGTACAAAAATATGAAACAAGCATACATAGGCATGCATAGAAAAGGTATGCTATGGTGAATATGCCTATAAAATAATATGTATGTATGTATGTATGTACATTTTATACAAAAGTATGTGTGCATTTGCTCTTAGCATTGACATCTGCCATTCAATTTCGAATTAACTGATTGGCAAATAAATAGTTGGATAAGCACCAGTGCTTATCAATATGTCATCAATTCTGATTTTATAAGTTTGATTTTATTGAGAAATGAGAACGACATTTAATTACCTTCAATAGCATGCCAGTCAATACTCATGCACAGGCAAGTAGCTAAAGACAAGTTTTAACGTTTCACGGAAAAAATTAATGTAAATTGTTTGGGTCAATTATAATCTCGATATAAACGTAGTTTCTGGTGTTTCCTCACTGAAAACGTACAAATTTAAAAATGTTGTTTGCTTTTCTTAAAAAATATCTAAGCAACTATACATACATACATACATATTTATTCCAAACTCTGGCAAAATCACTCTCATCAAAAACAGCCGAAGCTATAAATACACCTTAATCAGTACAAAAAGAAATCACACATTAAAAACCCTCACTCGTTTCGTATTTCCACTTAGTACTAGCAAATGTTTTGGTACACGATTTGATTTGACATCCATTCTCAGTAATCAGTGAACGCAACAACTTTGATTTAACGGCGTTAACAGTTGTTACAGTTGCTCGCAATCATGAGTTGCGTTCCCAAACTCGCAAGAAGTTGCATGAATTTACAGGATTTTACGATAAGGCATTCCCGTACTCGGTTATCTGGCAAAGTAGGGGCAAAATGCGAGAGTAAAATCGGTCCTCTCTTTGTCAGAAGTTGCAAGATTTTACCCCAAGAATTTTTGCTGGTAAAATCTGGTAAAGTGACAAACTATCAGCTGTTCAAATGATTTCAAATTTGAATAAGCAAAAACAAAAGTACATCTGCATTTTCACCTTGTTAAATATATCCTAGCGAACAAATATCAAGTTTTGTAAGTATTTTTGTTAATTTTCTGGTGTATTTAAGCAATATTTAGAAGATCGCCAAATGATGAAAAAAACTGCTATCTAAACAAAACATGGCATCCACGATGTATTTGACAGTTTTACCATCTTTTACCCGAAAAACGTTCCCGTACTTTTTGGTTTTTCTCTCTTTCTCTGACAGCAATTTAGTTTTTTGACTGTTTTATAGGTTTTACCCAGAAAAGTTGAGTAACGAAACTATGGAATGGGATTCGCTCGAAAATTGAGCCGTCGCACAGTGCCGCCTAATTGGGCATAAATCGAAATATTCGTTATCTGCAATTTGAACTTCTCTGGTATTTTTGTAAAGACAATTTATCCACTAAAAATAATTAAACAGACATTTCCCCAAAAAATTAATTTTATACCGCCAGGAAGCCACTAAAGTCGACAGATTTTATACTAAGAATTTTAATAAAGCATACCCAGGCATAAACCCTTCACAGAAAAAAATTTCAAAAATATATTCTTTGAAATAAAATGTTGGTTTGACTTTTGTTCCATATAGATAGCAGAGAATAACAGGAATTAAAATTTTGGAATAAAATTAAACACAGGGTGTAACTGCGGTGTGAAAAAAAAACTATTTTTTTAAATGAAATTTCAAAAAATGCTAAATTTTAATGGAATGAATAAAAAATATATGTAAAAATTGGTTATTTTTTATTATTTGATTAAATAGCACGGGCTTTGAGCTTCCAAAGGAAGAAATAAAAACCTGCTAATTTTTTGCACTTTCTGAAGTAATGCGTTTTTCGCTAATGCATAAAATAATTTTTTCATTTTTTGTCAGTGCCTTGAGATCTACACGATTCGCTCCATTTTCAAAAATAAAGTGTCACATTAAAAATCTTAACCTGTGGACAATAGAAGGTTTATTTTTTTTAAGAGTNTCAGTGCCTTGAGATCTACACGATTCGCTCCATTTTCAAAAATAAAGTGTCAGATTAAAAATCTTAACCTGTGGACAATAGAAGGTTTATTTTTTTTAAGAGTTGCCACCTGTTAAAAAATTAGATTGGTAAAAAAATTAGATTGACTTTTTTTTATAAGTTAAATGACTTATTAAGAGATGAGTATCAATCGTAATGTATATTTACAACATGTAGAGAGTTGCCACCTGTTTAAAAAATCAAATTCCACTTTAATTAAAGGAATTAGGTAATTGAAAGAGATAGTCACCATTAGGGAGTCAGACGAAAGAGGTTCAAAAAGGTTTTAGCTTAAAAATATTACGAATAGGGTTGCCACCTGTTTGTAAAGTCGAATTTATTAGTCGAATAATAATTACGTCAAACCATAGGACAACGCCATCGTATTTGCTGTTTAATTACAAATACATACATTGTCAATCAGTGATTTGCTCTGATTACGTTCCCTTTAAATTACTGGACACCTAAATTAACTCAGGAATGTTTTTACCCTCCACTCATTTCTTGCTAAATATGTCAAGTTTGTTTATTTGTCTGATACATATTTCAGTTACCTTATTCCCTTAATTAAAGTGAATTTGATTTTTTAAACGTGTGGCAACCCTTCTACGTGTCGTTTAGAGGTAAAGTATTTTAAAAACTAGTTCGATTGATACCCATATTGTAATATCTAATTCATTTAACTTATTAAATAGTTTTAATAAAACTTGTAACAGGTGGCAACCCTTTTCAAAAATAAAAAACTTTATTGCACATCTACAGGCCAATCCCTGTCACTGGACCCCTCACTTTTGAAAATAGAACGAACTATATGTACATACCTATGTAANCTGGACTCCTCACTTTTGAAAATAGAACGAACTATATGTACATACCTATGTAAAAGCCACAAGAACCCAAATTTTCAACTTCATTTACATTGAAAGTATGAAAGCTATCCAAAAACCAATTGCATTTTTGAATTCAGCGTCCTCAAGTTTACTAAGAAGCGAATTTTAATTTAAATCCGTCCATAATTCTATTTTTGCGAACATTTTATATGGAAGGGAAGCACTGTGCGTCGTAATTGGCCTGCAAAACTGCTACGGAAAACGAGAAACATTTCAGATGTTGCGGGCACTAAAAATCNTGTGGCAACCCTTCTACGTGTCGTTTAGAGGTAAAGTATTTTAAAAACTAGTTCAATTGATACCCATATTGTAATATCTAATTCATTTAACTTATTAAATAGTTTTAATAAAACTTGTAACAGGTGGCAACCCTTTTCAAAAATAAAAAACTTTATTGCACATCTACAGGCCAATCCCTGTCACTGGACCCCTCACTTTTGAAAATAGAACGAACTATATGTACATACCTATGTAAAAGCCACAAGAACCCAAATTTTCAACTTCATTTACATTGAAAGTATGAAAGCTATCCAAAAACCAATTGCATTTTTGAATTCAGCGTCCTCAAGTTTACTAAGAAGCGAATTTTAATTTAAATCCGTCCACAATTCTATTTTTGCCCACATTTTATATGGAAGGGAAGCACTGTGCGTCGTAATTGGCCTGCAAAACTGCTACGGAAAACGAGAAACATTTCAGATGTTGCGGGCACTAAAAATCAATCGAAATTTTATGTTTCTTACCATGAAGTTATTCTGGGAGACTATTGGAATAGTCAATCGTGGAAAATACAACAATCCAACTTAGCGCTGCTGGAAGGCAAATGGAGGCCATTTCGAATATCCTGTTTTACAATTTACAATGGGTTATATAATAAATAAATAAACAAAAAGATGTGAAAAATATTAATCAGTATTCATTTTATTGGTCCAATACCATTTACCAAAACATTTTCTAGTACCAATTATATGGCAAGGACTAAAGGTGGGGCTTTGAAAAAAAAATAGATTAACAAAAGAGTCGGTTAAAGTGAATTTATGTACATTTACCATCATTTATTTTTATTCGATTCGCTGAGAAAACAATTGTTTTACTTTTTAATTTTCATTGGAAGGCCGCGAAAAGACATTCTGGGGATCTACTCTGTACTACGATTCGAAACTCAATGCTTTTCGAAAGCCGACACGGACTAAATGTCTGATTATGGCAACGTAACGTAGCTTAGATGGTGTCACTTAAAAATTCTCTTTGATGGATGTTGCTTATATTTAGACAGGCGAAATTAACGTAACCTAATTCCAAGTCAAAGTATGTTTCGTTTTGATTTTTGAAGTTCTAAGTTATGTTAAGTTGGGCTTTCATATATCAGATATTTATTAATGGGATCCGTTACATTTTCGGTTACCTTAAAATTATCGCACAATGTTTACAATGCAAGTTTAACACACCTTAATTGTTGCACTGTTTTACGGATAGTACATAGACATGTATGTATAATGTATGTGCAAATATGTGTAAGGTGCAATGACGCATATAAACTGCAAAACAGGGCTACTTGCTCTGATTTTAGGAATGACATCTGTATGTTTTGATCGAAAATTGTCAGCCCATAAGCCCCTGCGAAACATTTCGTAACCAAAACAAAAACAGTGAAATTAAACAAAATACACATTTTGGGCAATTTTTGAAATTCGAAACTTTGCGTTCCCTTTTAACAATTTAATTAAAACTAAAAACAATTCTACAATTCAGTCCCACATACCTGCTGATCACTGCTGCTAAAGTGTAGTCGTCGATTACAACACAGTCAACACCTTAACAGTGACGTGAAAAACGCTGCAAGACACAAAGTTTACAATCGATGTATAAATCGAAAGCTGTGCCGGAAGTTTTAAATCGGTTATCACAACAGTGCTAACACACTTTCGAGCTAGTATAAATTCACACGCTAAATTTGCCTTAAGCGCGCTGTGCGATAAAAATGCTCACGATTTATAATACTGAGTTATTCAAATACAACACTGAGCCATCCATATACACATGTACTATGTACCTACATATGTATTTATGTAAGCACGAGTATATATTTATGTATGGCTGCTTAGTTACTTTGTAGTTGTTTTGTTTTGAAATTTCACCAATGTGTAAATTGTGAATTGACGCGCGTACTTCAACACCGAAGAACCATTCGAATTGAACGCTACGGTCGATTTGTAACACTGGCCTATTGCGCTGCTGCCTCCAAGGTACTTCTGTTGTGCGCTAGTTGCGGTTATGTTTTGAATTAGTACTTTCTTTGTGTCCAGGACAAAACGTAAGCAAACCGAACAGGCGTTTGAGCCGACTGGGTTGAGGGAAATTGTGAAACGGTACCACGAAATCACGCAAATGAAACGGTGAGTGAGTGAAAAGTGCGAATGAGTGAAAGCTCTAAAGGCGCTCAAAAATACACTGATGCATTTTGTTGGTTGCTGTTGCAAGCAGAGCGTAGTACTCAATGGGGTGGTGGGAAAATTCAGAACCGCGCGAAATGTTTGGATATGAAATTGAGTAAATGAGACAAAACAGTGCGGAAATGGTTCATGGTTGACATGCTAACGTGTCGCCCATAACCTACCAACCTAGAAAAGACATTGTTCGTTTACAATATTGTGACATTAGATTCGTCGTCATTGATATCGTTTCTCAGGTGCTTAAAAAGCTCCATTGTATGAGTGTTTCAATTTCACGGTAATGTTGGCACTCAATGGGAAATCAAAAAAAAAGGAAACCAAAATTTGGAAAACTGAAGCACAAGTTGGACTATTTAAAAGTAAAGCTTGTTGTGAATGTGGAAAAAATCAGTTACGATTAAATGCATTAAAGCTTATTTTGTGTAAACTTTTCCTTTGAAAATTAGTTAGGGGGTGTTCTGAAAACTGAAGATAATGCATTTTCTAAGATAAGTGCCCTCCATTTTTGACCAAACACGTTTTTGCAAAAAAAAATTAACAACTCGTGAGATTCGCTCATATACGAACTTCCTTCAAGGGGCATCTTTCAATATAAGTATAAGCACATTGCTATAAATAGGATGTTCCTTAAAAAAATTGTATTTGTTTGCATATAAAACGTTTTAACGCTTTGATAACCTAATCCCTCCCGAAAGCCTTTTTCTATCCTGAGTGATGGTTGCGCCAACTGCGGAAAAAAAGCGCTCCGACTTTCTCGCTTCTTCGCTGCAAGGATCTTAAAACCCTCTCCAACGAAATCTACGGCGACCCTCTTCACCACCTGAACGAAGGAAGTAAGGCTTCAATTCCGACAGTGAACAACCCTAAAATTTAAGGGGTCTCCTTTTATAACTTGCTCTCCTTCTCCGCACACACAACCGCAGTTGTCAACAAAGTACAGAGCCGCAGCAAGGTCCTCAAGTCGCTAGCCGGCAGTAAGTGGGGCAAAGACAAATAAACGTTGCTGGTAACATACAAGGCAAATGCATGGCTGGTTCTAAACCATGCTTCGCCTTTTTGGTCGCCCGGGACTAGTTGGATACA